TGGAATCACTTGCTTATTTGTGCATAGGATCCAAAGTTACCCAAGTGGTCTTTTTCCTTCTCATGTCAGAGTGAGATGGGCCAAGGTCAGTGACACTCTAGAGGCTTCCTCTGTGGGATGGGGTTTGGACAGTGACCTCTGCCTCTTTCCTAGTTGGGAGACTCTGACATCTCTTTGGAGCTTCTGTACCTCCTTCTGTCTAGGGACAGCTCAACTGCTCTTTTGGTTCTGGAGGTGATGACTTAAGCAAATCTAGTTTTAGGTGGTTTGCCAGCCAGGGTTAAGGAGCATGAATCCAATGGGTTTGAAGTGGCAGATTGAAAGAGCAGCAAATGGCCTGGCTGCTGTTCTCTTGTTGTTCCCAGAGGCCTGAACTCTGCCCAGCTAGTGCAGCACAAAGGGGGCACTTTCAGCCTTCTGTAAATAGCCTATTGTACAAGGGGAGGTGGTGGGGAAGGAATGGCAACATTGTGCCAGCTTGGCTTGCTGCATTAAGGAAAGTTGTCAGGATTTCTTAATTTGCTGCTACTGGGGCAGGGGTGCTGCTTATATGGGTTTGTTTGAGGTCTGCATTCCTAGGAAGGCATTCCATCAAACTGCTATTATTCAGCTTGATGAAAGCGCAACGAACTCCAGGGGGAGGCAGATGTCCAGATCACCTGTTTCTTGGTTTATAAATGACAAGAAGAAAACAAAATGCTAACGTAAGTAGAAGTTTACAGGATTGTAGGAGCTGCGTGTGTGTCTCCCTGTCTGTCTGTTGGTCCTTAGGGAATGAGTCACCTTTGGCTCTGTGCCCCCTTTTTCATAATTCAAACACAGTGGTAAAAGGTGAACCTTTGCTTACAATGGGCATTGAACCCATGTGTGCAGAGGCCAGGGTGTGAGGATAAATGCTAGCATTTATACAAGACATGGAGAGTTAGATGGATTTCATGCCAAGGAGTGTTACTGCTGGAACAGTAGTACCACTTAGTACCCTTAGACCCTGTCTCCCAGTTCCTAACCTGAGAAGGCTGAAGGGGACTTGTGAGCCCATGTGCAGGGAAGAAATCACATGGGCTTTCTCAGTGGACAGGGTCAGTGGCCCAGCTGAGGTTAAGAATCATTGATGTAACTTGAATTTAGAGTCAGGTTAGTCCCGTTCTTCACAGAAACTTTGTGGAAGCTGTTTCTATCTCTGGCCTTGGTTTCTCAACATTGTTTTGCTACTGTGATGTTTTAACAAGATGAAGATGTGACAACCTCTCCAAAATACTAAGGAAATGCTGATTGTTTTTTGTTTTTTTGTTTTTTGTAATTCCATCCAAAGCTTAGGCAGAGAGGTGCTAAGAGTTCTATTTTCTGACAGTCGTGTCATCAGTTTCTATCACCCTGCCTTGCTACCTCTGTCTCTACTCGTGTCTACTTAAAGGTATCCTCTGCTCTAGTTCTTTGCTGAACTGGGCCAGATTTCCTTGAATGTCGTCATGTTCCCTGTCACTCTGTGGTTTCTGACTTCAGTTTTGTTGAAGACCCAGCTGAGCACACCTATTTTTTGTAAGTGTGGGGAGGGAGAGTGCCCAGGAGTAGCTGCAGAGGAAGGAGATGCTAGCTGTCAATAGACTTATGTGTTCCCACTGGAACATTTAAGCAACGGAATCATATTCTTAGCAAACAGCAGTCTGATTTATGTGCTTGGGCTGTAAACTTCCTTAGATAATGATGATATGGAAATTTGCTTTTGAAAGAATAAAAAATAATTCCAATGAGAATACCACTGAAATGAGAACAAAATCTGTCTCTTAAGTTTTAACCATTTATTAGCAAGTGTCTGAGTCTTCATACTTATTAAGAGACCTGTTAAGATTGAATCTTCAAGCATGGTGTTTATGTCCACGTACAGCATGCAAAGGCTGTTTATTGTGTCCAGTTTTCTTTGCTTGTAGGTCTGCCTTCATTGTTAAAACTCAGGTACTTTTTCCTTACTAGCAGGTAAATGGAAGGGAAAAGATTTATAATAGTACCTGTTTCATGCTTAAGAGTTACACATATCTAAATGTGGTATTGTTTTAGTTCTTTATGCATAGACTATATATAGTGTTCCCAGTGTGGCACTAACCAGTGTGCTCTGTGAAGTTGGTTTGCAGCTTGTTACCTAGCTGCCAGCTAAGAGGCATGGATTAAATTGCAATAGCTTGTCATTATCAGCAACTAAATGTAGGAATTTGGCTGGATTTAAATGCTGAGCAGTACAGATTATTATCTAAGAAAATGCTCTTGCATGTGTGTTATTAAATATGTAACTTCCCAAAGTTTTTTTTTAAGTATTTCTTCCTAGACTTATTAAACTTTCTTAGTGTAATGAAGCTTATAGATTGTTGGTTGCCCTGTGTATGACTATTATTTGTTTAGAGATGAATTATTTGGTATTCTCACTCAGGGATGTAATTCTGCTAAACAATTGTTGTCAATTCATACAATCTAGATTTTATGGAAATTACTTCAGGGAATTTGGGGAGAGAGGAAAAAGGGCATAGGTGGGTGTATGAGCAAGGGGTGGAGACCTGTTCAGGCTGGGAGTGCTGCAGGGTAATGAAGACAACCAGCAGATGAGCAGAGGGCAAAGCAGGTTTGCAAATAAGATTTGGAAGGTTGTTGTATTTGCAGAGTTGCGATATTGTTTGTGCGATTTGACTGCTCTCTGCCAATAAGGACCTGAACTTGACTTGTCTGCTTATCCTTGAAGTCTCAGTGGATGCATACCCTCCTCAGAAAGGCCCTCCCTGAGGCCTGGCAGGCCTTGTGTTTTAATTTTGTATGTTCCCTACTAGCTCATTGAAAACTCGGGTCCTGTCATTAGCATTGTCTTCCCAGCTGCTAGCCCAGTTCATGGTACCCTGGGCTCTCGGATATGCGACTAGCTCAATTCCAGTGAATTCATCTGGAGTAAGTCTGCCATGAGAGTACACCAGCAATCAGTTTCTTCTTGGGATTTCTCCTGTTGGTTAGACTTACCGCCCAAGTCCTAGCCTTCATTTCAGTGGTTTAAAAGAAACATGCCTGTTGTCTCTTCTCATTGAAAAAGCTGAACAGAAAGAAAACAGTGTCTGTTTGCAAAACTGCCCCTGGCAGCGACACTCACTGATGCTGGTCCCGGCCCATGGGTGGAGCAGTGGGGTGACTCTACTCCAGCTCCTCATTGGCCCATCCTCCACCCTCTGTTCTCCTGAGAAGTCAAGGATGGATTTTGTCTGTGAGTTACCTTTAGCCCAGTGGGCTGCAGGGTAGGACTCAGCATGTGACTAATGCCCTGGAAGACCTTGGCAGGCTGGGTAAGCACCGGCTGAGCTCCTGGCCCCTGCCCCACCCCCTACCTCACCACCCTTTTCTGTGTCTGCAGTGGAGTGTCACCTAGCAGTCAGCTGCTGGTGGCACAGATGGTGAGTGGCTTTGTAAATGCTGGTGCTTTCTCTCCAGAATTGTGACCTGAAGACATTTGCTTATCTGTTTTTTCTGTTGTCATGTTAAATCTTGAAATTCTCTCTCTCTCTCTGTCTTTCTACCGCAAGACTGAATGAGTTGAGCAAATACATTATGTTGAGCCCTGTGTAAAAGCAGTGTGATATTCTGCTACTCTGTGACAAAAAAAAAAAAAAAAAAACCTATAGATTTAAATTTAAACAGGATTTCTGTATTTCAAAAAAGTTGTGACTTAGCTGTTTAAAGGAGTGTGTAGCAAGTAGCTCACAGATGCCACCTAAACTTTAGCTACAGTGTGAACAGTTGGTGCATAGCCAGGGAAATTTTGAGAAAAATCTTTTCATGAATTTACTATTTACTTTACTTTGCTGCCAGACTTTAAATCATAATCTTCTAAGTAGAATTATTCTTGCACATTTATTTTTAACTCATCAGTATATAAATTGTCTATATAATTCAGTCTGAAGCTTTGGTATACATAAAGTTATTTGTCTAATTTTCTTCTGTGTGTTATGGCTTCTTAATTTTGTTTATAAACTGCCGGCAAACATCATTTTTTTATTACCTGAGTAACTCACCATAGTGCACTCAGCGCTGATCACAGAGCATTGGTAGAGGAAGTAACAATATTCAACACATTTTCTGTTGTGTGGCACCAGCTAAAGTTCTTCATGTGAATCAGAAGTTAAGAAATACTAACTTTCTCTCAAATATTATTCTTATAATCTCTCACTAGGTATGTGGTTCTTGGTTTAAAATTTGTGCATATGTATTTGTTTTTGATACTATATCTTGGGGAATATAAAAGAAAATTATCTAATTTAGAATAACCAACTGTGGCACAGTTTTGTGATATGAAGACTACTACTAAGGGGCAAGCACCGTGGCTCAGGTTTGTAATTCCATTTACTCAGGAGATGGAGATGGGGAGGACCTAGGCTGGCCCCAGGCAAAACTGAGAAACTCCACCTGAAAAACAACTAACACAAAAAAGGGCTGAGTGAGTGTGTGGCTCAAGTGGTTGAAGTGTGAGGCCCCTGAGTTCAAGCCCCAGTATTGCGAAAAAAAACAACTGGGAAGGTGAGATAGATACTAAAATTTAGATTGGTCTGTTTTACCAGTTGGGGAACTTGTTCTGAGAGCTGTCTGAAGACACAGCCACTGATGGCCTTTAGGTGGTTTGGGCTGTTTGTTCCTCTTCACTCATATCCCCATTAGTGTCCTAATGAAACTTGAGCGTATTTGATTAGGTGGAAGAGAACAGAGATGTAATTTTGGGAAAGAAAGTAGAAACTTTATGCCACTTATTTAGCATTTTATGGCAGAATTCTTCATGAGTGAAATCTTTTTAATGTGGTTAATGAAAGCAACATAATGGAGAAATAGAATAAAAATGAATTTCTAAAGTGTTTTTAGAAAAATGAAACTTGGCATGTGGGAGGAGACCTGGACCTTGAGACTGCGGGGCTAATGCCAAAATCTGAAGAACCATTCTGCCTCCTCTCCCCATGAACACGACATTTTTCTTCTTTTGATAGAATTTGGCCTAAGGAACCACCAGCACAGGACCATGCAAGCTCACGAATTGTTTGGGTATTTTCGAATGCCAGAGCTGGTTGACATCCGGCAGTACGTGCGCACCCTCCCGACCAACACGCTTATGGGCTTCGGAGCCTTTGCAGCGCTCACCACTTTCTGGTATGCCACGAGGCCCAAGGCCCTGAAGCCGCCATGTGACCTGTCCATGCAGTCAGTGGAAGTGGCGGTAAGTGGGGAAAAATGGGGAACCCTGCTGGCCTCCTGGGCTCTATCTGCATTGTTCATGGTTAATTAAGCCTCACTGGAGTGATACTGATCAATGTTACAGTCAAACCAAATATTTGTTGAGTTATGTGCTCAACAAATGGAAGTTGTTGAAGATAGTAAACAGCTGTAGAAGCCAAAATACAGGGCACGGGACAAGTGATGTAGGGTTGGTAGATTGTGTCACCACAGTCACAATGACCTTGTAAACCTGCACAAGGTAAGTAGGCTGTGTGGAAGGCACACAAGATTCCACCAGGGGAAAAAGACAGTATAGAGTCCCTGTTATATCCCAGCAATGAGGGAAGTCACCAAATGTTACAGAAAGAATAATTTAACTATTGGTATGTCTGATACTTAGAGCTCATCCTCAGACTATTGAAAGGCATTCTGGGATTTCACCCAGGATAATGCTAGGGTAAGAACTTGTCAGAATAACATGACTTTAGCATTTTGGATAGGACACAAAGAAAGAAGAACATTCAAAGAGGCAGATAAGCTTGCATTGTTGTGTGTGATGGTTGCATATGGCTTGGGCAAGCTGAAGGTCATAGTTAGGAAAATTAAACCAGAGTATCTGTGATTAGGGCTTAATGGATGGATGGCACTTGAAACCTCAAGACCCTTTCAGGAAGAGTCTCTTTAGTCCTCCTACTCTGCCTTCCTTCCCTTCTTAGTCTCTTTCCTAGGTTTGTAAAAAACATGAGCTGTTGAAAAGACAAGTCATCTTCTTTGTGGTACTTTGATTCTTCACTTACTCTCTGCTTTGCAGTTGCTTGCTTTCCCCTGCTTAGGTAAGAGTTAATTTCCAGTATTTCTTATTTTCAGAATTGAAGGGTGTTGGGAAACCCAGAACTCCATTTAGATGAAGAGGGGAAAGGTCCCCCCATTTTCCCTACATCTATTGCCATAGCAGGAGAATTTGCACCTTTCTCCATAAAACCCTGTCTTGATAAATAGCTTCTTTTTGTTGATGGGATTTTAGTTATTTGATTTATTTTCAATGAATTCTTGGATTCATTAGTGAAATTCTTACAATATATCAAAGATATGTCTGTCTAATTTGTGTCAAATATAAATATAAAATGACTGAACTACTGCTGAGAAATATGAGCTTTATATTTTATTGAGAAGGTAAAGCCTTGATATTTCACTTCAACTAATCATACACCAATAAGAGTAGAATTTCACTTTTCCTGATAGGTTAGTGTAAAGTGTCAGCATTCCTTCTCTTCTGCAGAGCACCTCGTGTACCAAGTGTTATTGCTGTCACTATCAAAAGGGTAGTTGGTAGTACAGAGTTCCACACATGTAATTTAGCTGTAACTGTTAAACATACCTAATTCTTGTTGTATGAGAAGCTGTGGGGACACTTACATTGTAGCATTTTAAGTTCCATCTTAGCATGAAGTCATTGTGCCTTATTAAAATAATTACACATGGCAGGGGACTGGTGGCTCATGCCTGTAATCCTAGCTACTCAGGAGGCAGAGATTAGGAAGATCAAGGTGGTATTCAGCCCCAGGCAAATAGTTTGTGAGACCCTGTCTAAAAAAACCCTTTACAAAAAAGGGCTGGTGGAGTGGCTTAAAGTGTAGACCCTGAGTTCAAAACCCCAGTACTGCAATAAAATAAAATAATGTTTTCTGCAGAGCAGTTTAAGCAGATAATCAGAAAGAAAACTAAAATCTGTAATTGTACTATCTAGTATATTGGCTCCCTGATTTTCTCTTTGCTTGCAGAAATAGATTTAGTTCTGATTTTTTTAATTCATAGGTTTCTAGGAATAGATACTGAACTTGCATTATCTTTTTGAAAATGAAAATATAAAAATTTAAAAGTGCTCCGGAGTTTTGGTGCTCAGTAATTATGGGTACTTTGGTAGAGCTAGCATAGGTACATGGACTTCTGTGGCAGGGAAAGTGGAACACTGCATGTGCATTTCATTTCTTGAGGTATTGGTGAAAGTCCTCACTGTCTGGCACTGTTTTAGGGGCTGAGGGCCAGAGGGAAATGCTGCTGCTTTGTTCCTATTTTGAAAGCAAGTGAACACCACTTGCAAGTTTCCACCCTCACCACCCTGCTCTTCCCATCAACTTTACATGGATACTAAAATGAGAAGAGTCCAAATGCTTTGGTTTGGCCTCTTTTCATCACAGCCTGCACTGGCTATTTCCCAGCTCTGCATAGTGTCTATCTAAGTTTCACCCTCTGAAGTTCCTTTGCTTTGCACACAAGATGGTAAAAGGGTGTGAGCTGCAGACCTGTGCAGAAAGGTGGTGTGCACCTGCAGAGCAGTAGGGTTAGGATCAGAAGCCAAAGTCTCCTGTACTGTTGGAGCACAGTTGAATCAGGACACTGGTCAGCAGCAGTGACCTGAAGGCCAGCCTCTCCTACAGGAAAGGGAGGAACATGCATCCCCTGAAGGTTTCTGCTGCTGCAGCTCCTTAACTTCAAACAGAAATGGAAACATTTTGTGGGGTCTGTTAGTTTTTAAACCACTTTTCTCCTTGATATGCAAAATGTCTTGTTCTCACCTCCCAGCTTACTCTCTGAGAGAGTAAAGATGGTCATCACTGCAGTGACTTTGGGTGTTGGCTAGGGCCCTGGCCTTGGTCGCTGCAGTTAAGGGAAGGGCAAGGGCAAGTTGAAGCCAGAAGGGACCAAGGAGGCAGAGGGCTGAGGTTAAGGCTGGGCCTGCCCCCCTGCTGAGACCAGGCGGCCCTGGGCCTGTTCACCTTCACATTCCTTGTGTTGGAAACAGAAATGGTGTACCTTCCCTGAGGAAATGCACAGTGTCTGCCTGGCCCACTCGAAGTATTCAGTAAGTGTTAGTTTTCTTTGTCTGCTCTTTTAACTCTTGCATTTTATACACGAGAGAACTGAACCCTAAGAGATGAAGTTCTGTCGTACAGTTGGGAAGGATCAGGAGCTGTGTTGTAAGAGGCCTTTACTGTAGTAGTTGAAAGTGGTGTGTTATAACCAGGACTGAGAGAGGAGGATAGATGAGGATAACAAGGGAGGTTTATATTGGTCCAGGTGAACTGAAGAATTAGTGGCTGGAGTCATGGAACTTGGGAACAGGCTCTTCTGAAAGTGAATACACAGGCACACAAGTCCAGAAGTGGTGATGGAAACAGAAGGAGAAGGGACCGGAAGGATAAGAAACAGAGTCCAGATTCTATATGTAGGTTGGACATATGTTTCTTGACAGTCAAGAATCTGGTGGCAAGTGAGGGAAGGAGGCATAGAGCTGTGACACTTGAGCAGCTCTGCCCTCCCTGAATCATCTACCCCCAAGCCAAGCTGGACACCAGTGGGGTCAGAGCAGAACTTGGTACTGCAGGGGTTGTAGGTCCATTCATCACTTTCAAGGGCTTTAGGACACCAACCACTGTGAAGAGATGAGAACTACTGCAATTACTGGACAGGTAGTAGAAAATGTATGTGAGTTCTTACTGATAAGGAATGTGGTGTGGGGTACTGAGATGACTTACTTGTCAAATTAGGTCAGAAAGATTTTTGACAACTTCCACTAGGTCATAAAATTCTTAATGAAAGTTCGTGTCGTTTACTGTTTTTCTCAAATATAGAGAACGTAGTAAATTGTAGCAAGTAATTTCTTTATTCCTTTAAGTTCTTAACTTTTAGAAGACTTTATTTTAAGGATATCAGAACTTAAGCCAGGAGTGGTGGTATACACCTGCAATTCTAGCTACTCAGCAGGCAGAGATTGGGAGAATCTCCACTTGAGGCCAGCCAGAGTAAAAGTTAGTGAGACCCCCATCTCAATAAATAAGCTGGGTGTGGTTGTGCACTTTTGTAATCCTAGCTACGTGAGAGGCATAGGTATGGCGATCAAGATTTGAGGCTGGCCTGGGCAAAAGTATGAGACCCTAAATAGCCTAAAGCAAAAAGGGCTGGAAGTTTGGCTCAAGTAGTAGAGCACCTGAATTTAAGACCCACTACCACCAAAAAAATAAATAAATAAAAGGTATCAGAACTTAGATTCAACTTACTACTGGTAGCTAAACTGGTTAGCTGTTAGCAGACTCAGTGTCTAGACTTGTTACTAGATCTTGATTCTAGTGTGGTCCATATCTTATCATATGAGAACCAGCTCCTTGAGTATAACTCATTTCAAAGTTGGATGGCTTAGTTCTATGGTGGCTGGTGCCCTTATGTGTGACAGGTTGAAATTTTACGTTGTATGTTGGGATATAATGGCTAGTGACTTGCCTTTGCACCTCCTCATGCTTCAGGAAGTCTACCACAGAGGATGTGAGGCTTTGGATAGAATCCTCTGCAAGACACAAGGAACAGTTATCAGATATGCCTTCATTTAGCTCATTCACCTGAGTTTTTGCTATGTGCTGTGCACAATGCCAGGGCAGGACAGGCTTCTGCCCTCATGAAATGTGTAGGCCACATTTCACAGTTCAGAGCCTCTTAAACTGAGAGAGGGCCATCCTTTAAGAGCAATGCAAACAACTTGGCTTTCATGCCATAAAACTGGCTCATTCTCAGGTGAGAACTTGAAAGAAGTAAACTAAATGTAGCATGCCCACTGTATAGTTTAGTTATTTTAGAAATCAAAAGTCACAGCCTTTGAGTTTTGGAGGTTTTGTCAACGTCATGGCTTGCCCTTATGAATCACAGCCCTCTCGGTTCATGTGTATACTGAATCTTAGCCTATGTGTAGCGGGTATTTGTGGAGCATATTACACAGTGGGGTTTTCCCATGTGGCTGACTGGAGGAATCGCTCTTTTCCACATAATAATCTTTACACATGTACGTATACAAAGGCATAAGCGATTTCTGCAAGAAAGAGCAGGTCATTGACTCATATGTTTTTATGAAGACCCACACCAGACGTGTAGAGATAAAGCATTTATAGGACAGTAGGGGTAAGGACAATAGAAACCCAAAGAATGACAATGCTCTTCTCGACTTGAAAGCCT